TAAAAATAAACTTAAAAATAAAAAAAATTAGTGACGGTCTGGTCTACGGTAAACGTTATTACTTAATCAACCTAATTTATAATAACAAAAAATATCAGCCTCACTTATGATAACAAAATAAGTGGCGGTCTGTCCTACTGTAAACGTTATTGCTTAATCAACCTAATTTATAATAACAAAAGAAAATATCCAGCCTAAAATAGCGATAACAAAATAAGTGGCGGTCTGTCCCTACTGTTAAAACGTTATTGCTTATTAATCATACTCTTATATTTGTACAAACAAAAGAATTTACCCGCTGAAACATTATAATAAATAAAAACGAGTGATGACTGTCGTTTATTTTGCTAGCAATGTTATCATGCGCATGCGTACGTAAGTGCGGGCGATGGCTCGCATGTCGAGTACCACGTGACACGCTTCAGCAGGTTTTAAATTAACGTCTCATATTGTGATAGTTTTTTCTCTTACAAGACATATTTGTCATCAGATACTGCTTAAAGAACGTGGGGGGGGCGGGGCGTACGCTATATAAGTATATCGGCAGGAATAGCTAAACCTAGTTGGAAAGAAAGATACATAACTGTTTATCTATAGACGTCAGCGATACATACTTTTGACTTCGAATACTACCTTGTGATAACGCTGAGTCACATATAGCGCCTTTATTATAACAATAGGCGCCACGTTTTGCTCTATTTATTTCCTAGACAACTTAACCGTGTGCGTAAGCACCTAAATTGTGGCACCAACAGTCGACAATTTAGCGAACGATTACAGTGAACAAAGGTAATCGATGTGCTACTATATAATATTAGACGCTGGGAAACTTGCCGGACAGATGAATGCGAGGGAAATAAGTGCTAGCTGCAGTACGGCCGCCCAATTTGAAATTTTCCGAGCACCAGTGAATGCAGAACACAGTCAGTGATTGTTGGCTCGTGTATCGACTAGTAATATATGGCGAATGACGCCCAGAGCTAAAGCTTTAGCCGTTATAATTACTCGCGGAGCACGGTACGATGTAGAATTCAATACCACACTCACAGTTCCATTTACGTGCGTGCGTGACTCGCTTAGACTACCACTAGTCCAGTCGCCTGCCTATGCCTTAACAGGTATTGATTGGCAGGAGAATTTTAGGGTGGCCTACAGGGATAGATTCTTCAACCCGCGCGGTGTGGACATCAGTAAGTCGGTCGCACAACCGACCTCCAGATTTTCCCCGTCGATTGCGGCACCCCGAGCCGCTACTTCACAAGAGTGCCGAGTGAGTTAGCTGGTGTATTTGGCGAAAACAGAACGCCAGATCGCTTGATAACGGCAACAAGGTGGATTCCCATGCAGGATAAACCACCCTTTTCCCGGCGCGTTGCATGTTGTTCTACCACGCACTTCGATCCAACGCGTGTGCTATTGCCGCTGGGGCTTCTTTCCCCGATAGCCCTGCGTATTCCTGCGACATCATAAACAAAACAACACGACAACAACAAGCGATGTTGCGTCACCTATCGGTTAATTTGTTCTACAGTGGCCAGGTAGCAGTCACCCGCATCATCGTCATCTCCTCTACTGCGACAAGCGATGCTTGCGATGCACATTCATCTGGTGATAGGTACAGCTTGCCAATTTCATCCCGTGATAAGGCGATAGGTAAGCATTTATCTTGGTGATAGGTAAATAGGTAACATTATCTGGTGATAGTAAATAGTAACATCTCATTGGTGAATAGGTAATAGTGTAACAATTTACTGGTGATAGGTAAATAGGTAACATTTTATCTGGGTGATAGAATATGAAATTATCTGGTGATAGTAAATAGTAACATTTATTGGTGTAGGTAATAAGGTAACATTGACATCTGGTAATGAGTTGATACGTAAGCTCATGTCGATCTGGTGATAGGTAATAGGTAACATTCTATCTGGTTAATAGTGTTTACGTAACATTCATCTGGTGATAGGTAATAGGTAAGCATTTTCTGGTAGATAGGTGGAGGGTAACATTTATCCGTTTGTGATTAGGTGAGAGTAACATTTATCTGTGATACATCGAGGCCGAGATGATCATGGATGCTCCGAGGCATTCCCGCGGACAGCGCTGAAGCAGCGACGTCGCAGACGACGACGTTGCACAAACGAGGGACAAGCTTGCTCGTGCCAGCCGCGAGCTGCAGCGAGAGCCGACCGCGAAGCGACAGCCGACGGGACACGCGTCCGACGAACAGCCGCGGCTCCGGCGACAGTTATCAGGGAGCGTAATGGAAGTGCGTTATAGAGAAGGCATCTAATATCAGCGCCCCGATTCGAGGATCTGAGAGAAGAGCGCACGACTCAGATAAGTACTAGAGCATTACTAAGCGGGTATTCCTCGGTCAACGCACTCACAGCGTCCCAGATCAGATTTTTATTTCTACACGCGAGGAATGGCCGCCACTCCGTATCGCGAAACCAACTAAGTCGCAATCTTACGCCAGCGCGGTACTGATCTAGCGAGAGAGAAGCCGCGCGAGCGAGCGCCGCCGAAGCGAGAGAAACACCGAGTACTTTTCAACATGCTAAGTAGCATACAACTAATACACGACGTTAACAATAAATAGAGCGCGAGAGTTTATGAGTTGTAACTTCTAAACAGGCTCCGCGGAGTAGCGAACAAGGAGCAAAAATCGCGGGAAGCGACGTCACGAGCGGAACCTCGCTAAGGAGAGCGTCGCCCGACCGACGACGGCGATGACGTCAGCGGCGCGATCCCATCTTACCGTGGGTCCTCGGCCGAGATCCTGCGGAGTTGAGAGTTGGCGTAGCGAGTGAAAGGTCTAGATCAGCTTCTTACGCTAATCGGCGATACGAGATAAAGAAGGAACTGGAAAATCTAGCCGACGCAGCGTGAGAAACATCGGCTACAACATATACAAGTTGCATTATTATAATAACATATGTTAGTACAGTATTCTTATATAAAGTAAGTAAAACATCATCATAGTTAATGCATTGACACTAGACATTCATTAATTATATATTATATACTTTATTATAACATATATCACATCATCTGTATATAGCGGATTGTCCAATGTAGCGGCGCCAACACGCTCTCCGATACCGTCGCACGCTGACCGCGATTGTTTCGCCGCCTAAAATTTCTACGCGTCTTTTGCTGCTACGTATGTTTTTCTGATATCACTCTGCGAGTATACGCTGTCATTTTTCGTACTCAATGGAAATGGAAATGAATACGGAATGCGTATACAAGTAGGAGATGCAAGAAACGAATGTTATTTTTTATTATGTTCATCACCACAAACGCAATGCAGTCACAAGTGTCTCACTAGTGGTCTCTGTTAAGTTCGAGTCTAACTGTGTAAGTTTACTTTTATAACATGCTTCCTATATGTTCTGTCACATTTATTCGTAAATATGTAAAGCATTCCTTCGCTGCTAAACTATCTACATAATTACTTATACGCCTCGAGTATGATTGTGTCGGTGTGAGCCACCACGACCGTTGAATAACCACGATTGAGTTATGCAAGCAATGACACTACTTGTGGCCGTTTGCTCACACTGAGCCTACCATCATTATATCGGCCCGTATTCATCGATTCAAATTATGATCGAAAACATGTAAATCCGCAGGTGGATGACGGTTTAAGTACTGTATTCCGTGGAAGTGTCAAGTGAAAGGCGATTATCAATGCTAAACCTATAAGGCGACAGTTCCACATTTAATGGCTCTAATTTTTTTTTGCTTTAATATGGTTAGATAACAAAATTTCTCAATCAATTCGGTTTGTTTTAATAATTTAATCGCGATAATATTCTAGCCTCCTGTAACATTCCTTTCGATCATTGCCGAATAATATATATAACTATACTTATAGATGTGTGTGTGTGTATAATATATATAGGAGAGAGCAAGAGAGAGAGAGAGAGAGAGAGAGAGAGAGAGAGAGAGAAAGAGAGAGAGAGAGAGAGAAAGAAGAGAGAGAGAGAGAAGGAGAGAAGAGAGAAATAGAGAAAAAATAACAAAGAGAGAGAGAGAAGAGAGAGAGAGAGAGGTAGAGAGAGAGAGAGAAGAGAGAGAGAGAAATAGGACTTATCAAATTTAGACTTACTGTTTTGCTTATTTTTACAGAACGACTAATAATTCTTCGATATAGTGAATAATACCACTCAACGAATGAGCCTGATATAAGCTATTCAAAGACATTACCTACATGGTAAGCCGACGGCATTCTATATTTTATTTTTTTTTTTTTTTTTCGCTGCCCTTTCCTCTCTCTGCTCTCTCTCCTCTCTTTCTTTCTCTCTCTCTCTCTCTCTCTCTCTCTCTCGTCTCCGTCTTTCTTAATGATCTTTCTCTCTCCCTCAGTCTCAGCTCATCCCTCTTTCTTTTCTTCTCTCTCTCTTTTCTATATATATTAATATATATACCAATTTATATTTTTTCAGGCACTGGCGTGACGCCTCTTATGATGGCTGTGAAAGACAACAAATTAGCAACTGTCGAACAAACTGCTTGGATCTGGATGCGCGCGGTAACGCGCAAGCAAGGGTATGTATACCGTCGGCGCGAGCTTCCCCAGGCGGTGCCATCTGTGTCCTCCTATAATGCAGATAACATAAATCTGGCATTACACATAGGCCTACATAACATATTAACCATATAACATATATATAGTATATAGAATAATAGATATCTGTTACACAATATCGCACAATCGGCTAACGCAATCCCCGCGAATAACGCACGCTACATGCGTCTGCGTATATCGGTCTGGATAATTTGTTAACATTACAATTTATGTCGCGATTTTTTTCCACATTTCTTGCGTATTGACAACGTGAGAGTGAAATAAGCTCTTTACTTTTACTTAGCAATACATTTAATTTTAATATGTTTTTTGCCTACAACGTATTTCTTATTTAGCGTGAAATAATTAGTTATCGTCGTTATTGGTCACCGTTTTTTATTCGTTTTTTGTATTCGCCGTCGCGTAGATGGTAGATACAAGTTCTGCATTTTGCGCGGCGTGGTTCGCAAAAGAAGATGCATTATGCAAGACGCTACTGGGAAAGAGAGCAGACGCCACCATTGTTTACAGCACAGTAATGCGTTATCGGAAGCTAGTGTACTTGGTCCACACTTCGCGTACATACGATTATGTCTACATTTACACGCCACATACGAAATCAATCATTCGCAACACTTCACGCTAACATACGAATATGTCCACACTTACACCTACATCACGATTATAATATGTTACAGAACGATGAGCAATGATACATAGACAGTGATGTCTGGGAAATTACGTCTTAAAGCACTAATACACATCAAATCCGCGAGAATAAGCGAGATATAGTATGCTTCTATATTTATTTGCAAAGCACAAACTCACCATTTAATAGCCGCAATAAAGCAGCGTGAGATGTAAACCGTCATTGCACGCGTACGGCCATACATGTAATAATAGGTATACTACCGGTCCGCTCCGGTCCGGTCGCCGGTCCGTCGGTATGGTTAATCGTTCCGGGGGGGGACTAATTGCTCACGGCGCGGTGATTCAAAACAATGTCGCGGGGGGGTAATTGTCCGGGGGTAAATGTCCCGATAGC